CAAAAAGGCTGTCAAGACGGATCTCTTCTGGCAGGCCTTTCCAGGATAACTATCCCGGCCCAAAGAGTCAGTTAATCTTTCTCCCTTCCAGAAAGATTAGCCAGTTATTGTCTTTGAATGAGTCCCTGGATGTTATCACATGGGGAGTCGTGGGGAGAAAGTGGAAATAAACTGGACGAGCGGAAGACTTTAATTTATGGGATTCGTCCTGTTCCGTCTCGTCTGATAACCAAATTCGAATTTAAAAGGGGGTTAATTCGAACGAAAACCTGATCTTTTCATTTCCTCAAAAATCCCAAAAATGAAAAAATCAGGTTTTCGTTAAAATTAACCCCCTTTTAAATTTGAATTTAGTTATCAGACGAGGCAGAACGGGACAAATCCTGTAAATTAAAGTCTTCCACTCGTCCGGTTTATTTCCACTTTCTCCCCGCAACTCCCCGTGTGATAACATCCCCTGTTAGCTTGCCATTAGGGCTAGCAGTCACATGTTCATGCTGGCTGGGGGTACTGTAGTGCATTTTTTTTTTCAACCTCTGTGTTTTGGTTGGTAGAGTTTTATTTGTTCATTAGCTAACATATATCCCACTTTCTTCCTGTGAACAGTGAACAGAACTATTTAGGAGAGTCTAGAAATGCTTCATATTTGGCTCCACCCACCTCACCTGCATTCTTGACCAGTTTCCAAATAACTACTATATAAAAGCATCAGGATGCTGCCACTATGGAGTTTATCACATGGGGGAAAATTGGAAGTTTAAAATGGTAAGAATCCGTGATTAACTCAGAATTGCACAAATGGTTTTCACACACAAAGTGCTGTTATCCCATGCAGATACCAAGATTAACCTGCACTTGCACGCAAATGCTCAAATGTTTTTCACACGACGGGACCAAATGTGCCTCCATACCGATAATGATTAAAGTGTGCGCATCCTGCAAAAGTGAGCAAATGCACAAATGATTTTCACACATAGACTGCAACAAATCTCTCTCTCTCCCTCTGTGTGTGTGTTTGTGTGCCTTCCTTCCCTCAGTAGCTGTTTCTTTAAGAACTCTGGCTAGGAGGAAAGCTGAAGTGATCCCCAAACTGTGCCCCTTGGCTAGAAGGGAGGGCTGAAGCAGGAGACAGAGAGAGAGAGAGAGAGAGAGGAGTATGGGGTGGGGGGGGACTCAGACCATTCAATGGTCTCAGACCTCTCTCTCTCCCTGCCCTTGCATCTGCTGTTTGTTTTAGGAGCTCTGGCTATGAAGAAGGCTGGGTACTTATTTTAGGAGCTTTATAAACAGTATTACAGTATTGCCTTGTATTGCCCCATAGCACTGAAAGTAAACTCACCTCAAAGAACCATGGAAAATCCAGCAACAAACACAAAAACAGGGAGAATCCCATGAATAAGCCACAAGTAGCTTTCACACTACAGAAATTGCACCAAAAAAGCAAATGTGTGAATGAAATATAAATGAATTCATATTTCCCTGAAAATGCTTATTTGCTGCTTCATGTCTCTTTTTTTGTTGGATTCTATGTGATTTGTGCACAACACAACAAATATAGAGCTTTACTTCAGCAGAGTGTAAGGCAAACAATAAGCAAAGCAAAAACACAGCATAATAGCCAAGTACATATACAATGCAGAAAAAAGGCATAACATAACTTCCTGCAAACCTGCAGTACTATAACTCCTTAACAAGGAGAAACAAACTTACATCCCAGCAATATGAAAAACATCAGGCTTCTGACTAGCATGGAGAGTAATACACTCTCTAACACTCAATGCAGTTATACTCTGCTAAGTGGCTATGCAGACCACCTGGCCTAATTGGCTCACTGCATCATTAATTGCCAGAGCTGGCTTACTATCCATGGACTTCACCTGCCCCTTTGCTATGCCTTCATCCAGTCACAACTTAGCAAACTGGCATACCCTGACAAATGACACACAACTCAACTCCAAGGAAGTGGTTTCTGTTCTAAATTGGTGTCTGGCATCAGTAATAGACTGGACCAGGGTAAGCAAATTGAAGCCTGATTAAGATGAGACAAGAGTGTTCCTGGTCAGTTGAAAGGCAGACCAGGGAACAAGGTTTTAACTGTACTAAATGGGATTACATTCCCTCTGACGACACAAGTATAAAGTATGAGTGTACTCCTGGACTCATCCTTGAACCTGGAAGACCAGGTTTCTCTGGTGGGCAGGAATGCTTTTGCAGACTTTAAGCTTGTGGGCCAACTGTTCTTGTTCCTGGAGATGCCTGAGATGGCCATGGTGACACATGCCTTAGAATTACTGTAATATGGTCTGCATAGGGTTACCTTTGAAGAGTGTTCAAAAACCTCACTTGGCACAAAGAGCCAGTGCCAGAGTGCTAGCTAGGATCATACAACTCAACTTTTCCAACAACTCTGCTGGCTGCCAGT